GGCCTCAGGAATGCCCTGTGGGGCTTACTACTTCTCAAGGCAAGTGGACCCTCCCATCTTGTCTCTATAAGCCGATCTCACTTGGCTGGAGGATGAAGGGACACAAGGGGGATAGAGAATCCTTTCTTTGGGACCCCAATCGATAGCTCACTTTCTTTCCTATCGAACTCTTCTCTGCACTCCCCAGCCTAGCAAGTTTTTTGATGAAGTTGGGCTATTGTGGGTAATGAGATGACCCTCCTCTGTTCTATGTTTGATGCCTACTGTTTTTTTTGTTTTGTTGATTTGTTTTTTGGAGACATGGTCTCACTCTGTTGCCCAGAGTGCAGTGCAGTGGTGTGATCTCAGTGTTCGCTGCAGCCTCAAGCTTCCAGGCTTAGGCAATCAGCCTGCCTCAAACTCTGAAGTAGCTGAAACCATAGGCAGGTGCCACGACATCTGGCTAATTTTTAGATGATTTGTAGAAATAGAATCTCACTATGTTACCCAGGCTGGTTTCAAACTCTGGGCTCAAGTGATCCTCCTGTCTTGGCCTCCTAAAGTGCTGGGATTAAAGGAATGAGCCACTTCACCCAGTCTGTGGTCTGTCATTTAGACCAGGATTTCAGCTCAGGACTCAAAACATCCAGGCTCTTAGAACTCAAAAGATTATTTTTCCTTCTAGTCAACTAACTGTCTTGAGTTACAAAACTCAGCATCTTTAAATCAACTTTATTGATATATAATTAACATACAACAAATACATTTATTTTAAGAATACAGTTCAATGACTTTTGACAATTATATATATTCATGCAACCATTACAAATGTCAAGGCAAAGAACATTTTTCTCACTCCAGAAAATTCCCTCCTGCCTAGGTTGCCTGATCTTAAGTAACTACTGATCTGCTCTCACTTTAGATATGCCTTTTCCTTTAACAGATATGTTATGTTTTGCTTTTTTCACTTATTATAATGTTTTGAGATTTATCCATGTTGTTGCAATGAAAAGTTTTGATTTGTTTTGTTTTGTTTTGAAACGAAGTCTCTCACTCTGTTGCCTAGGCTGGAGTACAGTGGCGCCATCTTGGCTCACTGCAACCTCCACCTCCCATGTTCAACCAATTCTCCTGCCTCAGCCTCCTGACTGGCTGGGATTACAGGAGCACACTGCCATACCCGGCTAATTTTTTGTATTTTTAGTAGAGATGGGGTTTCACCTGTTCCGCAGGCTGGTCTCAAACTCCTGAGCTCAGGCAATCCACCTGCCTCAGCTTCCCAAAGTGCTAGGATTACAGGTGTGAGACAACCTGGCAAAAAGTTTATTCCTTTTTATTGTTGACTAGTATTCTGTTGTACAGATATACCACAACTTCCTTATTCTTTCACCTGTTTGGGTTATTTCTTATTTGCAGCTATTATTAATAAAATCTTTGTGAATAAATTTTTACATGGACAGAGGTTTTTATTTCTCTCAGATAAATACTTAGGAATGGAATTGCTAATCTGAATGGTAAGTGTGTGTTAAACTTAAGAAACTGCCAAACTGTATTTCCAAAGTATTTGTATCATTTTCTATTGCCACCAATAGTATATGCAAGTTCCAGTTGCTCCATATCCTCGCTGACATTCAGTACTACCAGGCTTCTCAAGTGTATCGATTCCAGTAGGCAGACACACTGTAGTACCATATTTTTTTTTAACATTTTATTTATGGTCCTGCTTTAGGTATACAGAACAAAATGTATACTCTGGAGGACAGAGACACAATTCAATTTGATTCTCCATCTCTTACACAATTCCAAGACCTAAGTTATGACACAGACTCAGTCACTCAATGGAAGGTAGGGATTTGCTCTCTGAAGAGAAATCTCTAATATAGTCACAGATACCTTATGTATCTTTCTGAAGGCTTCCTCAGACATATCTGAGGCTATTTACCAGAATAACTGTTTACTGGTGAAAGAAAGATATTGAGACCTTTTAGGAGTTACTGAATACTGCTTCTCAAAGTATACTTAGGTTTGAAATGCCACTGATCCACTAGTACAAATCCAAGATTATTGAGGTCAGTTCAGATGAGACCACTAATACATCTTCTCTTTTTTTCTCACCTACTGTCTTGAATATACAGTGTGGTTGATATATTTATTAACAGACACAATTTTGAAGCAACTTTTTTTTTATAAGAAAAAGAATAAAAGAAGAGGAAGAAAGAGAAAGAGGAAGAGGGAGAGAGGATGGGGGTATTGCTTTATTGCCCGGGCTAGAATGCAATCTAAATATGGGTATGTCTATAATTGTCCTTAATAATGGAGACATGAAAGAAAATGAGGGAAGAGAATAACAAACAAGGAGCCAACCAACATTTCGTTTAAACTTCTAAGTTAATATGATGTGGTACTGATAAGACTGTATATTTTGTATATTTAAAGTGGAGAGTTCTATAAATGTTAATTACATTTACTTGTTCCAGATCTGAGTTCAAGTCCTGGATATCGTTGTTAATTTTCTGTCTCATTGATCTGTCTAATATTAATGTTGAAGTCTCCTACTATTATTATGTGGGAGTCCAAGTCTCTTTATAAGTCTTGTATGTCTGCGTATTGGGTGTGTATATATTTAGGATCTTTAGCTCTTCTTGTTATTGCATTGATCCTTTTATCATTATATAATGTCCTTCTTTGCTTCTTTTGATCTTTGTTGCTTAATTGTAACTTTTCCTTTTTATTTATTTATTTTAGCTCTCTGTTCGGTTGGTAAATCCTTCTCCATCCCTTGTTTTGAGTCTTTGTGTATCCTTGAATGTGAGATGGGTCTGGATGCAACACGCTGATGGGTTTTAGTTTTTTATTCAAATTGCCTGTCTGTCTTTGAATTGGGGGATTTAGTCAATTTAAATTTAGAATTAATAATAATATATGTGAGTTTAATACTGCCATTTACTATTAGCTGGCTATTTTGCCCATTAGTTGATGTAAATTCTTCATTATATTGATGCTCTTTTTGGTATTTTTTTAGAAAGGCTGATACTGTTTGTTCCTTTCTATGTGTAGTGGTTCTTTCAGAAGCTCTTGTAAAGCAGGCCTGGTGGTGATGAAATCTCTGAGTGCTTGCTTATTCAGAAAAAACTTTATTTTTCCTTCACTTGTGAAGCTTAGTTTGGCTGGATGTGAAATTCTGGGTTGAAAGTTCTTTTCTTTAAGGATGTTGAATATTGGTCCCCACTCTCTTCTGGCTTGTAGGGTTTCTGCTGAGAGATCTGCTGTAAGTCTGATGGGCTTCCCTTTGTGGGTAACCTGACCTTTCTCTCTGGCTGCCCTTAGTATTTTCTCCTTCATTTCAACCCTGGTGAATCTGACGATTATGTGCCTTGGAGTTGCTCTTCTTGAGGAATATCTCTGTGGTGTTCTCTGTATTACCTGGAGTTGAATATTATCCTGCCTTACTAGGTTGGGAAAATTTTCCTGAATAATGTCCTGAAGCGTATTTTCCAGCTTGGATTTATTCTCTTCGTCACATTCAGGTACACCTATCAAGCGTAGATTAGGTCTTTTCACATAGTCCCATATTTCTTGGAGACTTTGCTCGTTCCTTTTTATCCTATTTTCTCTAATCTTGTCTTCTAGTTTTATTTCATTGAGTTGGTCTTCGACCTCTGATATCCTTTCTTCTGCTTGATCAATTCGGCTGTTAAAACTTGTGCATACTTCATGTAGTTCTTGTATTGTGTTTTTCAGCTCCATCAATTCACTTATATTCCTCTCTAAATTGTGTATTCTTGTTAACATTTCGTCAAATCTTTTTTCAAAGTTCTTAGTTTGTTTGGATTGGGTTAAAACAAGTTCTTTTAATTCACAGAAGTTTCTCATTATCTACATTTTGAAGACTGCTTCTGTAATTGGAACACACTGGTTCTCCATCAAGCCTTGTTTCGTTGCTGATGAGGAACTGTGATCCCCTGCTGAGGGAGAGGCGTTCTGATCTTGGGTATTCTCAGCGGTTTTTGGCTGTTTTCTTCCCTTCGTTATAAAATTATCCATCCATGGTCTTTGTGTTTACCGTCTTTGTAATTGGGTTTCTGAGTGGACGTCCAACTTATTGATTCTCAGCACCGAAATCTGAGCAACCCACTGCACCGACTAAATCAGCGGCGTTAAGATTGATGGTGCTTTTCTGACTCTGCACCAAGAACCGACGCTCCGAGGCGCTGGCAAAACCGCCTGGCTGGTCACAAGAGTCGTGCTGGCGACCCGTGGGGCTCCTCCGCTGGGAATCTCCTGGTGCATGAGCAACAAGAATTCATGTGAAGGTATGGCGTCCTCTTGTTCTTTGTGCTTTCACTGGGAGCTACAATCCCGAGCTGCTAGTAATCAGCCATCTTGGATCTCTCTCCTCTTTTTTTTTTTTTTAACAGGTTCAAATCTTTATTGTTTTAAAATTGTACAGTTCTTTTACAATACAATATTTTGTTATTTAAATGACCTCTAAATGGTTAATGTGCAATGAATATCTTTTGTTCTGAAACTCAACCATGAATTACGATTTCATCAATATTATTCTAAAGAGTCATAAAGATGTTGGGAAGGTTTGAGTCTGCATTTGAAATGGTTAATAGCACAGACTCTTCCCTTTAGAACCCAGATGACCATTCCATTGAAAGTGCTTTTGAAGACTGTTGATTACTTATAGCTGATCTTGAAATCAGTCAAATTATAGTTCCTTTTTGAAACATCAAAGGGCATTTTAAAAAATGAAACAATTTCCTTTACTAATCTACTGAGGCAAACTCAAAATTATTATTATCTGCATGCAATACCACTCCTCTTTAGTTTTGAAGAATGTATACATTTTTTACATGAATATGTTAAAGAGTGCAAGTATTCTGATATTGATTTCACAAAAGGACAAATGCTGGTAATAATAACATTTAACATCTAAGTTGAAGCTAGTGTATATTTAACAGGCAATTAATATGGCTTATGATAAGCCACAGTGCACAAGGTATGCCGTTTGAGAAAATGAACTAGTTTGGTCCGCATTTCTAGAGTTGTCTGGGTAAAAAAAAAATCAAAAACCAAAAACCATTTTAATTCAGCCAAGGATTTTGATAAATTTATTACTCCTAAAGTGAAGCCAGTTAAAAAGTAGATGATGTAGACCAATGAAGTATATTGTCACGCTGACTTTTGCATAAAAAGATGGTCTGCTGTTTGCGGAGTGATGAATGAGCACTGCAGGACAAATCAGAAAAAATGTCACAGAATGTATTAATTTTGTCCATAAGTTATACTTTCTTATTCCACAATACAGCTTTCACTCTATAAAACTTTGTCCCCAAAGGAACTTTAAATCTGTTTTGTGCCTTTTTGGCTTGACAGTATTCCTTTTTCATTACTTTTCCAAGTACCCAGGGTCTTCTAGATGCACCTGAAGCTGGTTTGAGATCCAGGGCAGGCAGAGACTCTGAATGAAGAAAAAATAAAGTAGGACTAATAGTAAATAACACATAATTGTCATGGTGTTCATCTAGGATGATGAGTACCAAATCTCCTCCCTGAAAATCTCTAATAGCTATCTTTTCAGAATGCCTTGAGGATACTGAAGACATGCTCTGAGACATGAGTCTTTGATTTAACCATTTATTTTCTTCTTCCTTCAGTTGCAATGTTCGTTCTAACAGCATTATCCGCTGTTTTTCTTCAGACAACATATGAATATTTTCTTGTACAGACATCATGCTTGTCTCCATTGCTGAATCTACTCTTCCTTCATCTGCTATTTCCAGAGCGGATCTATCTGATTCACCTGGGAGTTCAGGTGCACAAGCTCCATAAAGTTCTGGGGCTGCAGCTACATACGGTGAAGGAACAAAACTGCTACTACGCAACTTACTGACTTCTTCTTCAAGCTTTTTCTTTTTCTCAAGCAAAAAGAGCTCGATCTTCAGAAAGTGACTCTATCAAATCTTTATCCCGTTCTTGTTGCTGCATTATATTTTTCAATTTATCACTAAGATCATTTATTATGTTTTCTTTTCTCATTTTCTCTCTTGTTAAAACAGTGTTAAAATTGGTTTGTTGTTCCACAATCAAAGATGTTCGAACATTTTGCATTTCTTCATTCTTTCTTTTTTCTTGCTCTTCAAGTTGTTCTAGAAACTTAGCTTTTTCTTCCTGAAGCTTTTCTTGAAGTTCAGCAACTAAGCTTGAAGAATCTTCTCTGGTAGAGTCAATGGCAGAGCTTTTTGCTATTTGATTCTCAAGATGTCTAACTTTTTCTAATAGCTCTTTCTCAACAACTTCTCTCTCCAATTTAAATTCTTTTAGGGCAATCTGAATAGCTTCATCTTTTTCACAATTCAGCTTCTGAATTAACTGTTCTCTGTCTTGTTCCTGGCTCATGACCAACTTTTGTTTGTCTTTCTCCAGGTTCTGGATAATAGCTTCATATTTCTCTTCTTGTTGGGAGATTTTTTGATCTTTTTGTTTTTCAAGGGCATTCAGTTCTGAATCTAATTTACTTTGCAGTTCAATTATTTGTTCTTTTAGGTTTTTTTCTATTTCAAATGCTTGGTGATGCAAAGATGTTACTTTGTTTAATTCAGCTCTAAGCATATTTGATTCTTCTTCACGTCTACTAATTAACTCTGAAATACACTGATCTTTTTCAATTGTCATTAAAGTTCTTAGCTCTGCTAAGTAGTACCATATTGCATTTCCCTAGTGAATAATTCATTTGAGCATCTTTTCATGTCCTTAATGGTGATTTACACATTTCTTTAGTGAAGTATCTGATAAAATCTTTTGCCCATATTTAATTTCCTTGTCGGTCATATTATCATTCTAAGAGTTGTTTTGTGTTTTGTAGGTATCTTAGGATTTTCTGTATAAACAATTATGTTATCTGCAGGCAAAGATAGTTTTGCTTCCTCCCTTCCACTCTGGATGACTTTTACTTCTTTTCCTTACCTTACTGTGCTAACAACCTCCAGTACAATGTTGAATTCAAGTGGTTACGAGCAAGCATCCTTACTTGTTTCCAATTTTGGATAGAAAACACTTCAATCTTTCACCATTAAGTATAATACCACTGCAGGGTTTTTGCAGAATCCCTTTGCTAGGTTGAGAAAGTTTCATTCTATTTGTGGTTGGCTGCGAATATTTCTCATGAAATATCATTTATTGGCTGGGTGCAGTGGCTCATGCCTGTAATCCTAGCACTTTGAGAGGCCAAGGTAGGTGGATCATGAGGTCAGGAGTTTGAGACCAGCATGGCTAACATGAGGAAACCTGGTCTCTACTAAAAATACAAAAATTAGTAGAGTGTGGTGGCATGCAACTGTAGTCCCAGCTATTCAGGAGGCTGAGGCAGAAGGATCGCTTGAACCCGGGAGGCAGAGGTTGCAGTGAACCGAGATTGCACCACTATACTCCAAACTGGGCAACAGAGCAAGACCCCATCTCAAAAAAAAGAAAGAAAGAAATATTATTTATGTTCATTATTGCTTCCTAAATGATGGTAGTTAGTAGGCAGACTCCTAGCTCTTATTGTTTATTGAGTTAACAAGAAGGCCTTTATATTAATATGTAACAATTTTTAAAATATTTGATACTACATTTCAGTATAATTTATTTTCTTCTGTAATAAAGGAGGTCTATTCTAGAGACTATGCTATGTCAAGTCATCAAGTCCATCAGAGTGATGTGCAGGAATGGCACAGTCAAGCACTTTTGTTTATCCAAATGACAATGGACTAGAACACTTTGAGAGGAGGACTCAGAATCAATTTCTGCTTACAAAATGGTATATATATACTATTTGTGTGTGTGTATATTTATATGGCATGCTATATATAATGGTATATTGTTGGATACCACCCCCAACCCTGTACCTGGGTGACCTTAGTCCTGGCGGTGATGAGAGATTGAGAAAAGGAAATAAAGACAGAGACACAAGAGTAAAATTTACCTGCCAGAGGGTGAGTAGCAGTTCCCCGGCCCGCCCCACCCGGCTGCTACGAACCCTCTGGCCAGGGGGCTGTGCCCACAGCGGCCATTTAGAAAATTTGGAGTAATATGATTCTGGGAACCATATCATAGCGAGAAGATAATGTTATTGTGTTTCTTTTTTGATATTTGGCACAATAACGCTAGTTCTAGTTCCACCTCTGTGATACTGACAAAAATATTACCCTCGACCCCCTTGACATTAGAATTGAAATTACAGGGGGGTTTCACCCCTTGCAATATTTAATTCAATATAATTTTTGTGTGTGTGTGGACCTTAGCTACAACATCAGAGCGTGCTGTACACCTCTTGTCATATTGAGAGTATTGCCATATGGGCAGTAACATCATCCTCTCCTTCCCTGGATATTAGGAACAATATCACAGGGTGGGTGTACAGCCCCGGCCACATTGTGTGTAGTATCATCTCTCATCCCCTAGATATTAGGAACAATATCAGTGGGGGTTTGTGTGCTTCCTGAGATATTTGGAGTAATATCCTCTCCGTTTTTGGATATTAGAAACAATATTCCAGTGGTGGTGTACACTTCCTGCGATCTTCGCACAAGCCCTCATTATGAGACCCTCACACAGTCTCCATGTTGAGAAAGCGTTCGTGGGACCAGAGCAGTAGTGCCAGCTCTGCAACCACCCGCGGTGTTCCCCAGTGTTACTCTGCTCTCGGATGGTCTTTACCTTAGGCCTCCTGTTGCCATTTTATTTCTAATTAACTGCATCAATAATAGAGTTTAGTTTGGTGTATAAACTTCAGTTTACTCTGAGCCAAGCAAGTTTATAATTATTTAGCTTGAATTAACATAGGTCTCCCCCTGGCCATCTTGACCCACAGTATATATATGTATATATCATACATATACATCATTGTGTGTATACACACACACACACATACACACACACACACACACACATACATACATATATCTACCAATCAATATATATTTGGTTTTCTTTGTAATTCTATGTATTTTATCTTATACATTTAAAATAGTATTCTGAGAACGGGTGCCTAGGATTCAGCAGATTACCGAAGGAGTCCATAGCACTAAAAACCATAAAAGCCCCCCTGTTTTAGAGGATGAGATAGAAGGGAGAGCCGAAAGGACAGCATGTGGAGAGAGGGTGGACTGAGAGACCTGAATACGGTGCTTGAAGAAGAAAGGACTCAAATGCTGCCAAGTCCATGAGATTAGGGGTGAGAACTGACTGCTGCTTTTGTTTGCCTGCTTCTCGTTTTCTTTTGTTGATTTGTTTTTGGACCTGGGGCACAGAGGATCGGTTTACTGACCGTCTTCTGTACAAGGCACATGGTCACCACGGGGCCCTGTGCACTATTCCTGTTCCACCTGTTTGTTCTCTGTATCCCCATACTCTTATCATTTCTGCATTTCTATGAGAGTATTTTTGTTTGCATATGTATTTTCTTAAACAGGTTTTATTTTTTTGGAATCATTTTAGATTTATGAACATATAAAAATGAAGAAGATAGTGGCCGGGCCTGGTGGCTCACACCTGTAATCTCAGCACTTTGGGAGGCCGAGGCGGATGGATCACCTGAGGTCAGGAGTCTGAAACCAGCCTGACCAACAAGGTGAAACCCTGTCTCTTTTTTTTTTTTTTTTTTTTTTTTTTTTGAGGCGGAGTTTCGCTCTTGTTACCCATGCTGGAGTGCAATGGCGCGATCTTGGCTCACCGCAACCTCCGCCTCCTGGGTTCAGGCAATTCTCCTGCCTCAGCCTCCTGAGTAGCTGGGATTACAGGCACGTGCCACCATGCCCAGCTAATTTTTTGTATTTTTAGTAGAGACGGGGTTTCACCTTGTTGACCAGGATGGTCTCGATCTCTTGACCTCGTGATCCACCCACCTTGGCCTCCCAAAGTGCTGGGATTACAGGCTTGAGCCACCGTGCCCGGCCTGAAACCCTGTCTCTATAAAAAAAAAAAAAAAAAAAAAAAAAAAAAAAAAAAAAAAAAAAAATTAAGAAGATAGTACAGGCCGGGCGCGGTGGCTCAAGCCTTTAATCCCAGCACTTTGGGAGGCTGAGGCGGGTGGATCACGAGGTCAAGAGATCGAGACCATCCTGGTCAACAAGGTGAAACCCCGTCTCTACTAATGGTGCAAAAAATTAACTGAGCATGGTGGTGCGTGCCTGTAATCCCAGCTACTCCAGAGGCTGAGGCAGGAGAATTGCCTGAACCCAGGAGGCGGAGGTTGTGGTGAGCCGAGATAGCGCCATTGCACTCCAGCCTGGGTAACAAGAGCGAAACTCCGTCTCAAAAAAGAAAAAAAAAAAAAAGAAGATAGTACAGAGAGTTCCCCAATACCCCACACTCGGTTTCCCATATTATTAACATCTTACGTTAGTAGGATGCATTTATTAGAATTCATGAACCAATAGTGGCACATTATTATTAATTAAAGTCTGTAGTTTATTCATATTTCCTCAGTTTTTACTTAATGTCCTTTTTTCTGCTCCAGAATCTCATCCAAAACACCACGTTACTTTTTTTTTGTCCTGTCTCCTTCGAGTCCTCTTGACTATGACAGTTTCTCAGACTTGGCTTGTTTTGGGTGACCTTGAGGATTACTGGCCAGGTGTTTTGTAGGACGCCTTCTATCAGAATTTGGCTGCTGTTTTTCTTATAATTAAACTGGGGCTTCCATTTGAGGGAGCAAGGCCACAGAAATAAAGGGCCATCATCATCACACCATAGAAAGGGTACGTATTTTCAACATGATATTAACTGCTGTCAGCCTTCTCCATCAGAAATTTACTATTTTCTCCCTTTTCGGTCTGTATTCTTTAAATGGAAATCACTATGTGCAGCCAACATTTAAGAAGTGGGGATGCACACTCCCACTTATTGAGGGAAGAGTACCTACATACTCTTTGGAACTTTGCAGGAGAGATTTGTCTTCTCCCTCATTTATTTTTTCAGTCATTTATAGTTTATACTTTGGGTTATAATAACATAAAAATCATTCTGGTCTTATTTCTATAGCCCAGTATTATATATTACTACTATTCAACAGTACAAGTACCTGACCCTTTTTTCTTTCTTTGAGACAGGGTCTCGCTCTGTTGCCCAGGCTGGAGTGCAGTGGTGCAAACACAACTCACTGCCTCCCAGGCTCAAGCAATCCTCAGCTTCCCAAGTAGCTGGGACTACAGGCATGTGCCACCATGCCCGGATAATTTTTGTATTTTTTGTAGAGACAGGGTCTCACTATATTGCCCAGGCTGGTCTGGAACTCCTGGATTCAAACAATCTGCCCGCCTCGGCCTCCCAAAGTGCTGGGATTACAGAGATGAGCCACCATGCCTGGCTCTCTTTTTATTTTTATTTATTTATTTATTTTATTATTATTAATATTTTTATTTTATGGTTCCTAAAACTAACTTCGTTCTTTTTAAAGGTTGACAACAATCCTTGAACTTTAATCTTCCACTAAAAAGGATATCTATCAAGTCTCAAAATATTCTAATTGGAATTTTTATTTGGATTATATCAACTTTATATATTAGTCTGAGAAATTAACATCTTTACAACATTAATTCATCCCATGCAAGAGGATAGAGTATCTC